CCCCCCCTGCGCGCGCCCCGACCACGCGCACGCGCCCTCCGAGGCTATTCGATTGGCCAGTGAGCTGCGGATCCCGCCTCCACCACACTCGGATTGGTCACCCACGCTAGGCCCCTCGCCCTAGCCCAGGATTGGTGGAGACGCTCGCGCTCGCTCTCTTCTCTAGCCTCTAAGTGGTGCCTAGAGAAGAACTTTCTGTCCCTCGACTTCTGAATGGTGGTTTCCTTCCACACCTTCCACGAGTCTAGAATGGCTGCTGCTTTCAGAGGCCCGGACTCCGAGTCCCCTGATTGGTCCTGAGATGCGCGCACCCTGCTTGTTCCTTCGTCGAACGTGGCAGTGGGACGGAGTACTCAGCCGAGGGGCAGGTTTACGCCTGCGCCTCGGTATCCCCTCGTGTTGTTTTCTTACTGGACCGTGTATCCGCGATTGGCACCTCCTCCTCGGTCAGCGGGCCGGAAGCCGTGGTGACGTAACTTCCGGAGCGCGTGCGGTCCCTGATCCTTAGCTGGGGTGTGTGTCCCGGTAGATTTGCTATGGTCCCTCGAGGCCGTCGCGCGGCCCTTACGGCTTTGCGGTGACTCCCGGGCCTGTCGGGGGGCCTCGGGCGGCCATCCCCAGCGCAGATAGCGGCCTCCGTCCAGAGGCCCGAGGCGGAGCCGATGGACGCGGGCGCTAGCGAGTAGACTGGCCGCCCTCGAAAGGCTCACTTGTGCACTTTGGGTTAAGCCGTTTCCTGCATTGTTTTACGTGGCTCCTGGGAACCTGAATAGCACAGACGTGGCCCGCGTTCTCTGGGGCACTGCCTGCTTCCTCGCTGCCCTGCCTTTCGGCCGCCCGTCCTCCTGGCGCCTCTCCGCTTCTCTTTCTGCAGAAGCGCACACGGTCTCTAGAGCTGTCTGGAAAGCAGACACCCCTATGTTAAAATACACGTTGGCTGGTATATCCTGACCTCAGAAATAATAAAATACAAAAAGGGATCCTTTTGCACTTTTTAAGAAAACTTTATATGGCCGTCCATGTGCCTAGCTATATATTCTTTAATGTTAATTTTTTTCCATTAAGTTTATTGGCACATTTAAAGCAAACGATACAGTTACAGTCACCCCTGGGATCTTGTACCTTTACATGATGTATTTTGGTTCTTATTTTCTTCCCATTTCCCTGTCCTTCACCCCCTCCACACCTCCCTATTTCCAAAGATTTTGTTTCCATTTTTTTCTTTTTTCACATTTTTTCTTTGTCCTTCTTTCCCCTCCCCTTCCCACTTCCCCTTCTCTTTTAGCCCTTTTCTTCCTACTTCACATTATCAATTGTACAACCTTATTTACACTTTCAGCTTTTCACACCAAAGAAAAGATTCGGTATTTACTCAGGTGTGTCCTATTTATTTCATTTAACAGTATGGCCTCAATGTGCATCCATTTAGCTATAAATGTCTCTAGTTTCTCATTCTTTATGGCTGAGTTATTTTGTGTTTTGTTTTTTTTTTTAGACAGGGTCTTGCTCTGTAGTCCAGGCTGGCCTTTACCTGCAGCCCAGGTGGGCCTTAAATTCAGGGCAATCGTTCTGCCTCAGCCTCCTCAGTGTAGAATTACAGACACGCTCTAGCACGCCTGGCTTCTTTTGAATTCCCCCCACCCCCGGCCCTTGTGCTTGGCTTGTGAGGCAGGCAGCAGAACCACTGAGCCAAATTTTTTTGTACCTTTTTTTGTTTTGTTTTTTTGAGACAGGGTCTCACTATGTAGCCCAGGCTGGTTTCAAACTCACAGCGATCCTCCTGCCTCAGCCCCCTGAGTGCTGGGATTACAGGTGTACTTTTGAGAGTATTGGTTAAAATGCTTTTCTTAAAAGCATCACTTTTCCTTAATAGAGCTCCCTCCATTTTTAGAGTATGACTTTGTTTCCAAGGTTGGCAGCTCTGTGCCCACCCCAGCCCTGTGCCTGCTGGAACCCTGCCTGTTTTCACGAGTGACTTTACAGGCCTGGAAGAGATGTGAACAAGTGACACTCCCCTCCCCCAGGTCACCGGCCTTAATTCAGCCAGACCCTGGCAGTTGCTTGCCCACTAAACAGGAAGCTGTTTGATTGCAGGGTCCTGCCCTTGGGCTGAGTGGAGATTGCTTCAGGTCTGCTGCACTCTCTCCCAACATTTTTGTGGTTGTCTTGACCTGTTTTACAAATGACAATCTGTCGCACAAGGCAAGACTTTTGAACCACATCTAGGTATAGGAGATGTTTTAAGAGTTCAGCTGACAAAGCCAGATTAGGTGGCACACACCTGTAATCCCAGCATTCAGGAGGCTGAGGCAGGAGGATTGCCACAAATTTGAGGCTAGCCTGCGATGCATACCAAGACTGTCTCAAAAAAATGAAATAGGGCTGGGGATTTAGCTCAGGTTCCACTGCCTGCCTCGCAAGCACAAGGAGTAGAGTCCGATCCCCGCTACCAAAAATAAAATAAATAACCAAAAGGATAAATAAAAAGTTTAGATTGCAAGATGTTGAGACTTGGGTTATGGCCACTAATAGTAAAGAACAAAAGGGTTTGAGATACCTTAATATTGATCAGTGTACAAAGTAATTACAGATATTGTGACATCAGGAAAAAGCAGAACATACCAGGTGCACAGAGCGCACAAGGATCCAAGCAGCTGTGAGTGTCTCAGGATGGCTCTGGGTTGCCAGTGACAGACACTGAAGCTGGCTGGGATGCCATGCAGGCAACTGCCCTGCCAGGGTGGCAGAGGGGAAGGCTGCCGTTCTATGACACAGGTGGCTGCAGCCAAGCTGATTTTCTATGAAAATGCATACATGCAACCAGCACTCCAGCCTGAAGGAATTCAGAGTGACTGCCGGTACCTCTGCTCTTCCTGATGGAGGTTCCTAACCCTGCCCAAGCAGACACACTAAAGTCAGCCCGGGAAGCCCGAAGGAGGCCTCATTTATGGCCTGGGAGGTCCCTTGGATAAGGTGTGGAGGATGCTTCCTGTCCCCAGGAGTGCCTGCTGGAACAGGTGGACCCTGCAGGCCTCAGTCTGAAAGGAAGGCCCCAGCTTGAGCAGCCTGAGGGAGGAGCTGGTCACCTGCTTTCCTTCCCAGACTTTGGAGGAGCCTTGAGGTCAGGGCCCTCCCTGTGGCCGTGATGACCATCACGCATCTCTGACCATCGCAGATGCTTTAGGACAACGGTCCCCAACCTTTATAGCAACAGGTACAAGCTTTGTGTAAGACAATTTTTCCACAGATTTGGGGGTGGTTTCAGAATGGTTCAGAGGATCACATGACCTAGGTCCCTAGAACTCGAATTTCACAGTGGGGCTCTGGCTTTTGTGAGAATCTAATGCCTCTGCTGTCTGTCAGGAGGTGGAGCTCAGGCAACAAAGCAAAGGGAGCAACTGTCAATAGGGGCAAAGGTTCGCTCACTTCTCCACCACCGGTCTCCTGCCACGTGGCCTGGTTTCTAACAGGCCACAGACCAGCACCAGTGGGGAAAATTCCCACTTTGGGATCCTCCGGGCTCAGTGTCCGTCTTCTGGGTCTGGTGACAATTCCATTACATGTGGATTACATGTAATACTGTGTAAGCAAGTGCTTTAATAACTATTATTCTCCCTAGGCATGGTGACACACCCATTCAGGAGGCTGAGGGAAAAGGATTGCCATAAGTGTGAGGCCAACATGGCCTAAATATTGTGTTCAAGGCCAGCTTAAACTAACTATTGGGACCCTGTGTCAAAAAACAAAAAAATAGCTGGACATGGTGGCGCACGCCTGTAAATCCCAGCACTCGGGAGGCTGAGGCAGGAGGATCGCTGCAAGTTCGAGACCAGCCCGGGCTACATAGGGCTACACAGTGAGTTTAATGTCAGTCTCAACGACACAGTGAGACCCTGTCTCAAAAAACAAAAAACAAAACAAAACAAAATTTTTATTTTTTAAATTTTTTAAATTTATTTTTTTATTTTTTGAGACAGGGTCTCACTATGTAGTTTAGACTGCTCTGGAACTCACTGTGTAACCCAGGCTGGTCTCAAACTCAGCAATCCTCCTGCCTCAGCCTCCCGAGTGCTGGGATTACAGGCGCGTGCCACCACGCCTGGCTCAAAATAAATTTCTTGTCCTAACATGGTAGTGCATTTATATAATCCCAGCTACTCAGGAGTCTGAGGCAGGAGGATTACAAATTTGAGATCAGACTGGAAGCTTATCAAGACTGTTTGGAGCTGGTTGTGTGTGTCATGACAGCTGGTGATCCCTTGTTACATCAGAGACCCTGACCTCTCCTTAAGTGGCACTAGCTTCCCATTATGCCCCTGGGCAAAAAAAGGTCTCAGCTGGGAATGGATGAGGAAGTGGAAGCCTGGGGAAGCCTGGGAGCCGTGGAGCAGAGTTGTGGGTGGAGAGGCCCCTGGTGCTGGTCGGAGTGGGGTTGGTAGGACTGGGTTAGACTTGGGACCCGAGGGACACGTCATGAGCCTTCTGCAGGTGCCGCCTCACGTTAGCCTGCACTGGGTGCAGTCGGGGCAAAGTCCTGGCTGTTGGCCATGTGCCTGCACAGCCTGGCACTTGATCCGAGTTCACATGTGTGACAGGTTAGCAAAATCCCAGGCTGAAGAGATTAAACCTCTTGGCCCAATGTGAGCCTGAGAAGCCCGGGCCCAGTGAGCAGAGCTGCTGACAGTGGAGGACGCACTGGGGGTGCGGAGGTGGCCTGCTGTGAGGAGCCCGGTCCTCCTAGCGGTGGGTGTGGAAGGCTTGGGGCTCCTGCCCTACTTGGCTGGAGAAGTTGGAGACAGGGCAGGGTCTTGAGAAGGGAGATGCCATTCTGTGGTGACATTTTCTGGGATGGGCTTCTCTGTGGCCCCCGTGGGTAAGGATGGCTGAGTGTGCTGTCTCCAGGGAGCTGCCCTGGTGAGAGGGGTTGAGGCATAGGGAAGAGCATGTCTCAGGGATCAGCTAACAGTGAACTCTCGACCCACCGGCTTAACGCTAGGGCCACAGTGGACCCACGTGGGCATGGCCAGTGTGGCACTGGGGCACCCCAGCCACTCCGTTGCCTAAACATGGTCTGCAGCCTATCCTAAACTGTCCAGGCTGCAGAGGGCGGCTTCTGAGCTTGCACCAAGCGGGAAGGGGTAAGAAAGATTCCTGGAGCAATCTCTTTTCTGTGTTGCTTGGGCTGTCGGTCCTTCTCATATGGGGCAGGTGGACAAGGTGTGGGCTCAATGTTACCGGCCACCTTTGGGGAGTTCAGAGAGGTGGACGTGCCATCCTGGCCTTGAGGTCAGTCCCTCTGCAGAGAAACGTTAAGTGTTGGGCTGGATCGGAGGCCTCGCTGAGGCCAGCGCTCGTCTGATAGCTCTCTTGCGCCCCCTCGTGGTAACACGGGCCTCTTGCGGAACTCAGGGTCCCTCCCACGCTCCCTCCGGGTCCCGCCTGCCCTAGAGGCCACCAGCTTCCTGTTCCAGCCCTGGTCGTGCGTTTCCCTGCAATCAGCCTTTCCTCTCAGGGAACACACAGCTACCCGCCCTCCCCAGGCTCCTCGGCAGTCGGGAATGGCCTGTCACCACCTGGGGACGGCAGGCAGGGGGCAGGCGCCAGGGATAAACGGTTCTCCAGGTCAGTCCCAAAGGCCAGGACCATCACCTTTCAACTTCCTGTAACAGGCCACACCTACACTACTCAGGGGCAATGAGCCACTGGGGGGCCTCGACGGGTTTGTCCAGAGAGGGAGGTTTTTTTTTTTTTCAGGTACAGAGGATAAAACTCAAGACCTTGCGCTTGTGAGGCAGTCTCTGCACCACTGAGCTACATTCCCACCCCTTTCCTTTAGTACTGGGAATCAACTCCAGGTCTTACACTGAGTTATATTCCCAGCCCTCGTAGTATGTAGTTTGATTTCGGAGGTATAGCAGATTGAACCCAGGGCCTTGCATTTAGCCCCATTTTTTTTTTTTTTTTTGCATCAAAGAGCATAAAAACCCTGGGGCCCTCTACTGCTGAGCTACATTCCCAGCCCCATTTTGCTGGATGTGAACTCACTAGAGCCAAGACTGGTCTCAAACTCAAGTGATCCTCCTGCCTCAGCCTCCAAGTGCTGGGATCACAGGTGTGTACCACTATGCCTGGCAGCCCATTTTTGGAGACAGGGTCTCAGTAAACCTATCTGCGCTGAACTTGCAATCAATTACTTTGCCTCAGCCTCCCAGAGGCCTAGGATTACAGTTGTCACGCTACCAGGCCATCTGAGAAAGGCAGACTTCAACATTCATTTCTCATTAAATAGCAGCTGGAAGCCAGCAGCAGTTAAAGCACCTCTGGATGGGGAGTTGCAGACCCGAAGCCCCAGTGAAGGTGCCTCTGGTGCAATACCTCATCCCTGCAGGGGCCCTGCCACCCCTTCCACACTTCCAAGAGAAGCAGCAGACCCCAATCCTTCAGGGGTGTTTATTTCCCGGTCAGAATAGAAGCAGGGACAGGCTCTGCTGCCTGTCAAGGCCAGGGCCTGACAAACACCACTTGGGAACCTGGGAGGGGAGGGGAGGCGCAGGAGACAGCTCCCGACTGTGTGCACTTGGTCCCATGTCTGTCCTGGCTGGGTCCAGGGAGGGCCTGCTTGGGGATGGTGGCACTGAACGCCAGGGTGGAGGCAGCAGGCCGGCCGGCCCAGAGGACGGCACAAATGGAGGCAATAAATACTGGCAGGCCAGGCACAAGGTTTTGGGGCTGTGGCGCCCTGGTGGGACAAGTAAGGCTCAGCAGCTGGCTTTGTCCCTCGAGGGCTCTGTGGGGAAGGGTGTGCGCACTGCCTGGGGGCAGAGAAGGCAGAGGACACCCGCCTCCCAGGTGGGACTGGAGGCGGTTTGGCAATCCGGCCCTCCCCGAGCGCTGGCTGGAGTGGGAGGGCTGGCCAGGCCCTGGCAGCCGGACAGGAGCTACAGCAGCACACCCCAGGCCTCCTGGGTCAACGGGCTCACAGACAGGGCAGGGACGGGGACCACATGCTCATGCAAACAGGAGGAAGTTAAGGGTTAGCGACGGCCCCCAGCACACGTTCCACATGTTAAGGCATCATGGTTAGACGGTGACTGACAGCGACAAATGGACTGGGAGGGCGGGAGAGGGTGGACTGGCCAGGGCCCGGCAGTGCGCACCCATGCTCAGCAGGGGTGGGAGGCTGTGGGGCTCGGTAGCCCCACAGCGCTCCTCTCCCTCTGAATGCCAGGGTCGTCTGGGCCTGGAGAAGATGGGCAAGGGAACTTGGAGGGACACAGAGGGGGTGGAGGCTGGGCTGGAGCCCCTCCCCGACACGGCACAGGCAGAAGCAGCAACGTGACACTAGAGACCACAGGAGCCTGTGGGCAGGAGGGCAGGGGACGGTGGGAGGAGGAGCTTCCAGAGATGGACAGGGATGGAGGCGGGGAGGGGTCCTGTCAGCACTTTGGTTTGGGGTGGGGAGATGGGGAGGGGTACGTTTGTCCGTCCATCCGTCTGTCCGTCTACCCTGCCTGCCTCTCGGCCAGGCCTCAGTCCTTCCACTCCTTTTTGATGGTGAGATTCCACTCCCAGGACAGATGGTCAGTCTTGTCATCGTCTGTGAAGCGGGACTTGATGTTGTAGCTGCCCCGCGCCAGCATGCCCTTGGGGGCCTCCTCCATGGGCGTCAGGAACTCGTACTCCTCTGCCCGGGGCCCGTAGCTCCCCACCATGTAGTCAGTCTTGTCAACTGTGGGACAGGAGGAAGGGAGTGGCCACCAGTGCCGCTGGCCCCTGCCAGGAAGCCCACAGCCCTGGCTCCCCGGCCCTCACTCACTCTTGACGCCTTTCCGGTAGGTGTGCTGGATGTACTTCATGCCTGACACAATCTCCCTGTTCACCTGCAAGGACCCAGAGTGGGGGTCAGCCAGGCTCCCCTCCTCCAGAGCCCCCCAAAGCCTAATAAGCCTTACCCGGAAAGAGATTTTTATCCGGTACTCCACACCCTCCTTGAGCACAAACGACTGTTTCTTGAAGCTCTCTAGATCACCTGCAGTGGGGAGGAGGTTCAGCCCGGTCTCACCCCACAGCCTCACCCCACACAGTCTCCTAGGGCCTGGGTGCAGTTCCCATCTGCCTCACCAGAGGGAGTAAGTGCCCGGGAAATTATTTTTAGGGCTGGCCATAGAGGCCAGCCCCACCCTGGGGGGCTGGTGCCCACTCACCTGTGAGGTCCAGCTCCAGTGGGCCCGGGGCGGTGCTGCACACAAGGGTCAGACGAGTCACGATGACATTGGGGCAGCTCGGGTCTGGGGAGACAGTAAGTTAGAGCTTACCCCCTCCATCCATGCCTCACTCCAGGAGGCAGGCTCCCAAGGGAGGGCGGGAGCAGGGCAGGAGCTGAGGGTGACAGGTGTCCTTTGACGGTCACTCACCAGCAGAGACAGCCACTCGGCCCAGCAGGGCCTCCTTGTACTTGCGCAGGCTCTCATCGTCCTTGTCCAGCTCCTGGATCTCCTGGATGCTCTTCTGGGCTGGAGGCTTGTAGTTGACTGAATGCTCATCCTCCTCATTTTCTGCTGCGATCTGGGCCAGCTGCTCAGCTGTGGGCTCCTGCTCAGCCATGCTCACCTCTAGCCTGGGTCTGGGACACCTGTGGGTGGGGCAGGACTTTTAGGCCGGGTTAGTCTGGGAATCCTCCCCCAGCCCAGGCCAGGGTGCTTGCTCTATGCTGAAGGGGGTGGGGCTGGGGAGCACTGGTGAGTACCCTGCCCCCAGAGAAAGGCCCCTGCCCACCCTGTATAGTGACTAAGAACTAAGGAAATTCGACCTGTTCCTCGAGGAGGAAAGGCACGTCTCCTTCCCCTGATGTGGAAGCCCCCAAACCAAGCTGGCTGGGCCACACTAAAATCCTAGACTACTACTGGCTTTTGAGCCGCCCAGCTCCTTGCCCCAAAGAACCCCTAGGATTGATTCAGACTGGGGGTGCCTGAGGAGTATGCTCCTGTCCCAGCCACGTGCAGGGCATGGCCTATCCCAGGTCATGCTGCGAGCTCAGATCTCGGGCCGCCTGCAGCCTTTGGGGCGCAGAGGCGCGCAGCCCCTAAGCATACTTAGCTTGTCCCCACTTGGGAGGGTCTGTGGCTATAACTTGCGCTGCTCCAGCGCTCAGGGTTCGCAAGACCCTTCCTGGACCCAAGAGCGCCCAGGGAAGCGTCGACCCCGCAGGGACGGGCGCGGTCGTCCCCAGCTTCCTCTGGCCTCGGCTGCTGCAACCGCGGTAAGGTCCCCGAGGGGCGCCCGAAACCTTTTCGGATCACCGGCGCGCCCTTCCCTGTGGGCCACCCAAAGCTCAGACTCTGGGGTGCAGGACGGCGCAGGGGCCCCCGGCCTGCCCAGGGCCTCGCG